CTGAGTTTCTGAATGTGAACGATAAGCACGACTCTTGTCCTTTCTCTTGTAGATCCTCATATTACGGATAGGTAGGTATGCACCTATAGGCATATAAAAAAACATGTTTTTATAGTTTTTTATTACTGTTTAGAATACGTTTTTTACACTTGTTTACAAAAAAGTTACAAAAAACTTGGTAAATTTTATTTTATTTTTAACAATTTTACTATGTTTTTTACCTTTCAAATCAATTTGGTGAAATCTTTGTAAACTTTTGATTAGTGTTTATTTATTTTTAACCTGAAAATAGAAAAGATAGTAAAATAGTATTAAAAATATACTATGATAATAATTTAAAAAAAGTAATTCTAAAATAATTATCAAAGTAACCCCAGTTGATGGTAATAAATATCCAAGGTAGTTTAACAAACTGTTTATCTAACTGATTAGATGCAGTATTTTTTGAAACTGTCTAAATAGTTTTTGGTTGTTTTAATAAGTTAACTTTTGTTATAGCTGTTCCATGAAATTAACTCAAATTTCAAAGTTTCAATGGTATTAGTGGACCGCAATTGGAAATAATAAAGAAAAACTTTATCATTCCTTTTAAAGAAAAATTCTAACTAAATATAGCACTAAAATCTAGTTTAAAAACTGTTAACTTTCTTGACGATTCTCTCAACTTGTCTGACAATTCTTATCAGCCATTTAGGAAAGCAAGTGACATCCCATTATATATCAATGTTAATTGGAACCATCCTCCAAACATTGTTAAAGCTATTCCTTCAATAATATCTAACCGTATAAGTAGTATATCCTCAAGTAATGAAGTTTTTAATTGAGCCGCAACCTTTTACAATAGTGCCCTTAAGTCTAGTGGGTTTAAAGAAAACATTACTGCCATTGTTTATGTTGAAATTTACAAATTTGGAACAATATCGAAAACAATAAAAATGGAATAAGATCGAAAACTCATTTAACTGATAAACATCAAAAATATGATTTTCTGATTACTGTCAAAAAGTTTTTATATCGAAGTTCACAAATGTGAAACAATATCGTAAACAATAAAATAAGAATAAGATCGAAAACTCATTTTAATGATTAACATCGAAAATAAGATTTTCCACCTATTACACAAGATAATATAAGTCTCTTACCTTGTTGTCAACAACTCTATAAAAGTTGCAAAATCACATGCAAGAATAAAATCATATTATTTGGTTTAACCCTTCATTTTCAGTTAATGTCAAGACAAACATAGCCAAACTTTTCTTAAATTTAATTGATTAAAACTTTCCAAAAACTTATAAATTCCATAAACTGTTTAACCGAAACGATCTAAAGGTTAGCTATAGCTGTCTTCCAAATATTTGCAACATCACTTCAAATAACAATAAAATTCTGTCAAATTCTATAAACCTTATTGCTCCAACGTTCAATCGCAGACAGAATAATTTATGTCCACTTAACAGAAAATGTTTAATTAAAAATATCATTTATTTGTGTAATGTTAAGACAAACCCGCAAGATGAAGGTAGCTATTATATTGGGGACAGAAAAACTTTTAAAGATCGGTTTTACAAGCATAAAATTTCCTTTTGTTATAAAAACAGGTCAAACTCTACCGAACTTTCTAAATTTATGTGGAGTGTTAAAAAAAAAGGTTAAAGTCCTTTCGTGGAAAATTTTTGACCAGGCTGAACCATTTAAACCTGGTGGTAAGTCATGCAATTTATGCTTGATGGAAAAATATGATATAATTTCATCCCCCTTGTCTTTACTAAATAAGCAAAACGAACTTGACTCTAAGTGTCGCCATGAAAATAAATAAATGATGAATAACTTTAATGGCATCAAGAGGACACTCCACAGTATTTTTAATATATATTTTTTTGCCGTTATTTTTAGGATTTGTAACATCTGATAATTTAAATATTTATTTGCGTGAAACTCAGAGTAATGTTTTAATAATAAATTGAGTGTTTTAATTATTTAGTTTTCACTATATATATATATATATATATATATATATATATATATATATATATATATATATATATATATATATATATATATATATATATATATATATATATATATATATATATATATATATATAAATATATATATATATATATATATATGTATATATATATATATATATATATATATATACAGGGCTCAATTTAAGGGTCAGACATTGTCTGGCTAAAACCTCAGGTTATGCGATCAATTTACAAAATCTGACATTTTAACTGACGGGAATTAAATTCTAAAATAGGCGTACTATCAAATGGTATCGCTGACCACGCAAATAATTTTTTTTTTTTACAACTTGACCTTGACTGTTTAGATGTTTTGATGGTTTATATGTTTCAGAAATGCGCTGAAAAAAGAAACTTAAACTAGGAAAAAAATAGAAAAAACTAAAGAATAAACAAAACAATTCCTTACGAAAAATATAAAACTAAAAAAATTTAAAGTTAAAAATACTTTTTGTTACGTTTTTAATTGC